TAAGGAGACCCTAAACATGCTCTTAAGTTAACCACAGACACAGAGAGACAAAAGACAAGAATGAACTCACGGTTGGAATGTTGCTGCTGCTGACCTTCATCAATTCATGCTCACATGATAAAGCTCTCGCACAGTCACACTCACCTAGCACGTGACCAGGCCACGGGCTTCTCAATAGACCTGCTGCCTGCTGCCACTGTGCCCTTGTGATCTCTCACCTAATTGGCTCTTTCTTATTTAACCACTCCATTATTTTGGGTACGGTTTACCTCTTGTTTTCAAGTTAATGTCCTTTTTCATTGGGCTATACCTCGTTGTTGGGATACAGTTTACTTGAAAGATAAAAATTAAGGGGCCATACTTTTCTCATATTTAACTTACAACCCATAACCTCAACATTCAAATGCAGAAGTATATTGTATTATAAAAACCCTTTTCACCATTTTCAGCGGTGCAAACTGTAAGCAAGAATGGATGACACTTTCAGCTTTTGCCTGCTCATGCTCTTTCTCCTCTTCATGGGCTCCTCTGTTGCTTCCTTCGGTTCTTCTCTCTCTTCCCCCTTTTCTCTGTCTCATTTGTTCAGTTTGTTTTACTGATTTTATGAGTTTATAATATTATTTTTTTGGCACATTGCAGATGGTCCACTGTATGATTCTACTGCTTACACTAAGGTGAACATGAAATGTGGTCAAAATTATTATGTCCCAGATGAATTTGTTCGTTTGATTCAAACTGTCAACTCATTGAATTAATTGGTTTTGTTTTTGGCAGTGTAAAATGCAGCCAGAGGCAGCTCTGTATGGTGGAGGAATCATCAATGATAAAGCTTCAGGGGTTGAAGGCAGCTTGGGCAACTCTGCAACTACAAGCACTGGTGTTTATTCACCATCTTTCATACTCCACAATCTCAGTCAAGGCACCATTTACTGTTTCTCCAGTTGGGTTCTCTATTACCTTATCTTCTTTTTTTTTCGGTGGATAGTGGTAATTTAGTGTAAAATTACTTCTTTTTTTCTTTTTTCTTTTTTGTGGAAAAACAAAAATTACATTTAAAAATCAGCATGAAGCAAAAAAAATTCCGTTGCCGGGACTTGAACCCGGGTCTCTCGGGTGAGAGCCGAGTATCCTGACCAACTAGACTACAACGGATTGTTGATATGGTTTACTACTCTTAAATATTTATCCTTGTATTTTATGCATGGGCCATCAACCTGGGCTCTTAGGTACATCTTGGGTTCAAACATTGCATGTAAATAAAACCTAGTTAACAAAGGCTTTGATTGATGTGAATTTCAAATTAATCAACGACTAATAGTGACTCACGCATGTGTACAACTATCACTAGTCGAATTCTTATTAGGGATTTATGGTGACTGTAAAATTTACTTGCATCTTACATTGGGCTGCATTGTGCTTAATCAATAGGTTGGGTGAAGATAGAGGGTGCAGGCTCAGCTCTCATAAGGGCAAGCTTAAAGACAGAAAAAGAAACCTATGACTGCATAGGAACTGTTTTGGCTAAGCATGGATGCTGGTCATTTCTCAAGGGTGGGTTTGTGCTAGACTCACCATCTCAATTATCTATGCTATTCTTTCAGGTAATTTTTCTTTTTCCAACACACTGGTACATTTTATTTATTTCAACTCTTTTTTTGTTCCTCCCAAAAAAGTTTCAACTTTCATGTAGACTAATCTTTTGTTCTGGTTATATAGAACACAGATGACAGAGATGTCAGCATAGAAATTGCAAGCTCTTCTCTGCAGCCATTCAGTGTTCAGCAATGGAGGACATATCAGCAATATATAATCAACACTGTAAGCATCTCAGCAAATGCTTAACCAAATTTTGCTCTAACCAGCTAAATACTTGTTTAACAGTAATATGAACTTGATTAAAATGAAAGTTGTTAATTTGTGTCCTTGTTTTATTTTCTTTATCAATAGAAAAGGAAGCGTGCCGTGACAGTCCATGTCGCAAATGAGCAAGGAAAGAGGCTGCAAGGAGTCACAATTAACATAGAGCAAGTGTCCAAAGATTTCCCATTTGGATCTGCAATAGCAAAGACCATTCTGGGAAATCTTCCATATCAGGTTAGGAAATTTGATGAGCTTGGTTTAGAACAATATTTTAAGTAAAAACTAATCTTACATGCATCATGTTCAAATCCAGAATTGGTTTATTAAGCGATTCAATGCCTTGGTTTTCGAAAACGAACTTAAATGGTATGCAACAGAGCCTGAACAAGGCAAGACCAACTACACCATAGCAGATCAGATGCTGCAATTTGTTCGTGCTAACCAGATTACTGCTAGAGGGCACAATATATTTTGGGAAGATCCCAAGTACACGCCGCCATGGGTTCGGAACCTTACAGGCAACGAGCTGCAATCAGCTGTCAACTCAAGAATCCAAAGCCTAATGAGCAAATACAGAGAAGAGTTCATCCATTGGGATGTCAGCAATGAAATGCTTCACTTTGATTTCTATGAGCAGAAGCTTGGGCCCAATGCCACATTGCATTTCTTTGAAACAGCACACAAATCTGACCCTTTGGCAACCCTTTTCATGAATGACTTTAATGTGGTGGAGACTTGCAGTGATGTAAATTCAACCGTTGATGCCTACATTTCAAGGTTGAGAGAGCTTAGACATGGTGGAGCATTAATGGATGGAATTGGACTAGAGGGTCATTTTACAGTACCAAACCCTCCTCTAATCAGAGCTATCCTTGACAAGTTGGCCACATTAGGCCTTCCTATTTGGCTCACAGAAGTTGATATTAGCAGCACTCTAGGCAAAGAAACACAGGTAAATAAGTGTTACATATAGTTCAAAAAATTAAATCGGATCTCCACGGAATGTGGAATAATTATGTAGTCCAATTGGAAGATGACATATGTTCAAATCTAATGACCACTTTTTAATATATGTCATTTTTAAACTTAATTACATTGTCATTTTGCATTGTCACCTGACACGAACATCCTCACATAAGTTTTTCTCATCCCTGACTGACCAAATATTTTTTTGTTTCATGTATAGGCCATTTATCTAGAGCAAGTTTTAAGGGAAGGCTTCTCACATCCATCTGTGAAAGGGATAATGCTTTGGACTGCTCTGCATCCTAATGGGTGCTACCAAATGTGCCTGACAGATAACAATCTTCAAAACCTACCAGCTGGAGATGTGGTGGACAAGCTCTTGAAAGAATGGCAAACTGGGGAGATAGAAGGGGAAACAGATGACCATGGATCATATAGCTTTTTTGGTTTCTTGGGTGAATACAAGGTAAGTGTCAAGTATGGCAATAAGACTTCAAGCTTAACATTCTCACTGTGTCAAGGTCAAGAAACTAGACATGTTAGCATTCAGTTGTAATACAATTTCAACATAATTATTAGAATATTGTTGCATTTAATAGAGCAGTAGGTCATAATTTATAAATTTAATGAGGAAAGTCAGAACTCAAGACTCTTTTTCATTGAGTTAGAACCGTTCACGGAAAATTAGTTTCTTCATTTAAAAAGTTGATCTATTTTTTGGGCCAAAGATATCAATAATTATATCCCATTGATGCTCACCTCTTAAATTCTATTGGCAAAAGTTGCTTGATTTTGCAGAAAATGTCCCCTGGTTATGTAGCTTGCATCTCACATTTAAGCCACCACACCAACCTGAGTTCTTTTTTAATGATGCCATGATATCCAGCAGACTCAACTTTTAACACGTGTTTCACTTACATTTGCAACTCTGTTTTGATGAAATAATCTAATAATTATTGCATTTTACTTAAACAAATGTTAGGAAATAATTGACTGGTCATTAGAGACTTGGAAGAAGTTGCTAGTATCTTCTTCTTCTAATCAGTTTGATTATAATTTCAAGATATGATTCTTGTGAGAAGGACCCACATGATAATTAATTGGAGCAACTCCATAATGCTGTAGCATTATGAGTCCTGCTCTTTTAAATTTGATGGCTACAATCTGCATCAGTATAGCAGATCAGCATAAACCATCATAATTCATTATTGTACTGGCAAAGTAAAAGAAGAAACTCACCTGCAACGGGTGTCTACAGTTTTTCTCCCACACGTGAGAAACTTGTACACACACCCGTTGCAATTGAGAGAATTTCTCGCATCAAAACCTGTTGTATACACCCTATTGTGTCTCCCTTTCCTCGTGAGGGTGTATACAACAGAATACTCGTCTATTAGTCTAAGTATTTTGGCTAAATTACATGGTCTTCATCATTTTGACATAATCAGAGCGTAAATTTTGCTGTATTTGTCCAAAAAGTGGTTGTTTTGTTGTATGCATATTTTCAAGGTGGGCCATTAGAAAATATATTCGCAGCACAACAATGTCAACATCATGTTACTTTTATGCAAAATTTATGAAGAAAAGTTGGAAGGCCTGATCATTAGATCAACAAGTAGAGGGCAGCTAATTATGTCTTGTGCACAAATGAACCACTTTTCCACCGTATTCCTGTTTTTTTTTGTTTAAATTGCAAAGATTTGATTTGCATTTTGTTCTCTGGTCCCCAACTCCCACTGACGATTAATTTATTTCCCTCTGAAAATCCAACTAACGACTTCAACACCATCCCATATCTCACCAAACGAATTCATAACATATTAGACGGATTGTAAACTCAAACGTTCTAAATTTAAACTCTTCTATATGCAAACTTCCGAATTTAACTGATGAACGTGGTTTATGAATTGATAACATCACGGATTATCTAAGGAACAAGTTGTAAGGTTATACATTCTAAATTCAAAAACCCTAATGGACACACCACATGGAACTGAAAAAACATGCAGCAGATAAAGGAAAAGCGAACAAAAACTTGAATTGCCCGCAAAGTGAAGCCACCATTTTGCCCACACATTCACATTATACACTCCCTTTTATGAGAAAACATTCACAAGGCACACACAATTCTCTTTCTTTAGATCGAGAATCGAAGGAAAAGCAAAACCCAAAAAAGCCAGCCCAAGATCAAAAGAAGGGTTCTGAATCCTCATTTGCTGCTTTAGTAACTACATATAGCGGCAGAACCTTCAAAAAGCTTGGGTGCAAAAGAAAAAGGAACCCTACTATCTACTACTACTCTCATACAGAAATTAAACAAAAAGGAAAAATGAACATTTTTTACGTGTATCTTACAAAGATTTTGAGGTGAGGGAATCTTGGAAGGGTTGGGTGGGTTTACAATCTTTGATTAATCTGTCAGCTTTTTTTCTACCAAGAGCAAAACTCAGAGTGACCACTAGAACACTCAAACCTCTGAATAATTCACATTGAAGAGCAAACTGCCAAGGGAAACACAGAGTTGGAGACTACAAGAAAAGATAGGAAAAGATGATACACAAAGCTGCTGAGGTCATGGAGAGGGGCCCTGCCCTATTTGAGTCTCCCATGGCCAAACCAGCTAACCATGACCCATCATCTGCCAGCATGGCCTCACCAGCTCCAGACCCTGACCCGGGAACTGTCCCTGTCCCCGTACCTGTACCCGTGCCCGTGGCTGACCCGGACCCAGACCCGGGAACTGTCCCGGCACCTGAATCCGAATAAGCGAACCCGGGATTTGACCCGGCAGTAGCAGCCCCTTGTGATGGTGTTGCTGTCATTGGTGTGGACTTTAGACTGCATGCACCCACATGATCAAATGTTAGAAAAAATCATACAAAAACAAGTAATCAGATACTTTGGTGTCACAGTCCAGAGTGACAAAACATCAAATACATATTCACATGGAAAGCAACCCAACAAACAACCTGAATTATAAAATTAACAAGAAATAAACAGATATTCTGAATAAAAAATACTAGAGAATTTAATCAACTACTAGAAAAGCTTGTCAAACAATAAAGCAAAGCATATAATCTATCAAGTTTTTGGCTTCTTAACAAAAAAAAAAAAAAATACAATCAAATTATCTTTCTTTTTTTTTGTTTCGTAGAAGAGAATAATCTTTAGCTTTTGAAACAAGAAACCAAAGCGCTCGTATAGCTTTAATTTTGTTTACCTTGGAGACGAGGGGCAAAACGTCACCGTATAATCGGCACCGGTGCACGTAAACGTACTCGTAGCATCATCGTACGCGTAGCTATACGACTTGGGGCACGCCGCCTTAAACATCTGCGAGTAAACCGACGGGCTACAGGTGGCGGGTGTGGCATACGCACCGCTACAGCAGTACTCGGGGGTCCCAAACGCCTCGCACGCGCTCTTACACGCGTCACCGTCGCCGACCCTCAACTCGGACGGGCACATCCGGTTCAGATCCGTGGAGCATCCGGTGGAGGCG